CCCCCTTCCTAACAAGTACCAGCATTCCAGACTCCAGAAGGAAAGTAGCTGTTTAGCATAAGCCACATTGTACGAACAGTCCAGACACAGGAAACCACCTTTATCAGTTAGAGACTGATAGAAGCACTCGCAAAACCCAGGTTCCTAGACACCAGCTGAGGACCCATCTCGCAAGCAGGCCTTTCTGAGGACAGACGTCTAAGATCTGCTGCATTAACTTTTCTGCACAGATACGTACCTGGAATTAGAATTGTTAGGTCATATGGTAACTCCATATTTAACTTTTTTTGCCAAACTGTTCTCCAAAGTGGCCGCACCATTTTCATTGCAACCAGCCATGTATGAGGCTTCTGATTTCACCATATCCTGGCCAACACTTTTCATCATCCATCTTATTTAGTATGGCCATCCTAGTGGGACTAATAGATTTTTAAGTTAGTGATTTGCAAGCATTTAGGATAAAAAATGATGATCTATAGGAGCCAAAATAGGTTCTCTAACAACAATCATAAAAGCAATTTATTTTTCTGTACTAGCTGTACTAGGGCAGAGTGTTTTTATATTTTAGCCTGTCTTTCACAATATCTTGGTGTACAAAAATGGAGAATCGGGGGTTGTACGGATTGCTTGGCAGATTTCTTACTTGCTGATGAATGACATCAAAGAAAAACAAAACAAAACAAACAAACAAAGAAGGGAGCTGGGTCCAGGAGAGAGACTCCTGAGGCTGTTTTCCTGACTTAGTCCTCAGCTGACTGTTTATGTGTCGGTTCAAAACCTGAGGGTAGATGCAGATAGCAGTCCCATCAAGTCTGCAGATTACCCAGAGGAGGCAGACACATGTGTTGAATAAGATCTGGTTCCAGAAAGGTTGGATCTAACCAGAGAGATCCTTACAGCATGGAATGATAGGCAGAGTCCAAGGAGATGGAAGTTATTAGGGACAAATGACAAGTCCACACCTACACAATCTGGCACAGAGGTGGCCAGAGCAAGTGGGCACTTCGGTTTCTGCTCATTTCCAAAAGAATGACCAGCCACGGCAAGTGAGTGACAGAGGCGTGGGGCACCTAGAAGAACGCTATGTCGTGTGGGTCTGCAGTTTCAGAGGGTTCAGTAGGTGAGTGCACTTCAAGAGCTGGCTCCCCGTGGCTGAAGGTCTGTGGTATGGAAGCAGGAAGAATTGTCTCCCCTGTGGCCCATAAGGGAAAACAGATTTCCGTTGATTAAGGAAGAACTTTGTGAAACTCCACAATCGAATGGGCTGCCTGGGAAGGTGGAGAGCAGCCCGTCACTGAGAGTGTTCAAAAAGAGACCACTGGCCAGGCATGGTGGCTCACACCTGTAATCCCAGCACTTTGGGAGGCCGAGGCAGGTGGATCACTTGAGGTCAGGAGTTTGAGACCAACCTGACCAACATGGTGAAGCCTCATCTCTACTAAAAATACAAAAATTAGCTGAGCGTGTTGGCGCACGCCTGTAATCCCAGCTACTCGGGAGGCTGAGGCAGGAGAATCGCTTGAGCCTGGAAGGCGGAGGTTGTGGTGAGCTGAGATTTCACCACTGCACTCCAGCCTGGACAACAGAGCAAGACTCCATCTCAAAAAAAAAAAAAAAAAAAGAGAGAGAGAGACTACTATTAAGGAACTTCCCCAGGTGACCTTTGAGGTCTCAGAACTGCCTAAGCATGATGTCAGGAACTGTCTGTCTCTAAAGTCCAGGTATTACCCATGGCACACATCACCAGTTCCAGAGTGAAAACATTAGCCTTTCTGTGGGTCACTCTTTCTTGTGCCCCTCACAGTTCTACCTGTCCATCAGAACTCTTGTTCATCCATCCACGAAGCTTCCCTTGAGACACACACTTGCCCTCTTCTGAATACCTGTTGTCCAGCAGCCCCTCCTCTCTGGCTTGTTTGCCTGTTACATGTCTTGCCTGTGAAGCGTGTGGTCCACGTTGAGTCTTCCAGCCATGTGTTAAGCTCCAGAGCCAATTCAGCAAATACTTAACAAGCACCTTCTTTGTGCCGGCCCTTGGATGCACTGTGGGGCATGTAGCTGTGAATGGGGGTGGGGGGCCTGACCAAATAGTTGCAGGTATAAAAGCTTGACTGCAGGCCACCATGGGTCTGCATCAGGAATGTGGGATGGTGTCTGACTTCGGGCTGGGAAGAAGGCCTCCCTGCAAAGGTGCCTTTTCAGCTGGGACCTGAAGGAAGATGGGCAGTTGGCAGGGGGGCAGAGGGTAGGAGCTGGGAGTGCATTCCCACCGTGGCTATAGCCTAGACACAGGACAGGACACCTAGTAGGGGCTTACTTAGGGTGTGTTAGGGAGAGAGAGAAGGACCACCTTTCTGGGAGGGAGGCTGTCCTCTTCATCCCCTGTCCCCTGCTCACCCAGCATCTAGGCTGAGCCACCCGTGGCCTGAGTCAGGAGGCACGTGTGCATTGAAGGAACGAAAACACGAAGAGTCAGCCCTGATTGCCTTGTGAATTCAGCCCCCAGTGATGCTGAGATGTTTTGTGCCTTCACTCCCTCCCTTGTTGTGGATGACTGTGAAAACGGGCCACATTCCAAACCTCACATTCCTGCAGTGACAGCTTCTTTGAGACCACGTAGATACCTGTGATTCTCGTAATTACTCCCGAACACCCACTTCTCTCTCTCTAGGTAGGGGGAATTTTCAGGGTGGGGTGTGGCCCCCCACTTAGACCTCTCCTCCTCCTTTTCTGCTGTCATTTATGCTTTAACAGCTTGCTGCTCCCCACCCCAGCCCCCCAGCCACCTGCCCGCTCTCCCCCAACACTGACTTAATAGAGAAAGCCCCCAGATAAGAGAGACTGAGGGAGGAGGCCGTTCTCTCTCAAGCACTCATGCCTGGCAATTATTTGTTGTTATTGCCGATTGAAGATAAGTAGAAAATAACAGAGGAATGGAACCAGGACTCAAAGCCCGTGCCAAGTGCTTGACTGTATTACCATGACGTTTGCATGTGTGTCACATGGGAAGCCACATGTCTGGCCAAGCCTGGGGGGTGTCTGCTGCTCTGGGAGATGAGTGAGCCAGGTTCTGACCTGGCTGCTGTGCTGCCCTGAGCACTTCTCATCTCTGGACCTCAGTTTCATCATCTGTGAAATGGGGCAGCGGTGCTAGATTATTCTGCCGTTTCACGGAGAGTCCAGGCCATGCACCTGTCAGGTCTACCTGCCCTCCTGGTCTGTGCATTTGGGCTGCAGCAGTGAGAGCAGCTGTTTACTGTCCTGGTGTGCCTGGAAGAGACGTCTTCTAAGCGTGGGCACCAGGAGTGGCCGAGCATGGAGAATACAGGTGGTGATATCCTAGAAAGTGGGCCGCTAAGGCGGGAAACACAGGCTGGGAGAGAGGAGGGGAAAGCCAAGGGATGCAGGACAGTGTCTGGAAGTGAGCGATACAATGTAACAGGTTGGTGCTTCTCAGATGTGTCCCATGGGCCAGCAGCAGCACATGGGAACTGGTAGAAAAGCAGATTCTTGGGCCCCACCCCAGACCTGCTGGATCAGAAACTCAGGGTGGGGCCCAATAACCTATTTTAACAAGCCCCCCAGTGATTCTGATGCCAGCTAACATTTGAGAGCTAAGAGACTGGATGAAAGGAGGGGTGGATAGCCGAGGCTTGGAGAACCAGTATTTTAAAGGTCAAGGAGGAAATAGAGCTAGTGTTTGTCAATCGCTTGCTGTGTCTGGTCGGAAACTGGGCATTCCCACTACTTTCTTTCATTTCAACCTATCAGGATGGTGGCAAGGCTGGCCTTGTCCCTTGCTAAAGCAGATCTCAGCTGATGCAACTGATTTCATGCCAGAGTCACAGAGATCGCGGCAGAGGTGGGATTAGGACCTAGGCATCTCTGATCTGGGAGCCTGAGTATTTCCCGGCACACTAGGCTGCCTCCCCATCCACCTGCGTCTCAGCTCTGCTGCCACTGCGGGCCCCGGGCTCCTCCTGTGCTCCACAGGTCACTCCAGAACTCTGCTGTGTTGTGCTCCCTCTGCAGCCAGCCATGCCAAGGGAAAAGGGGCACACCATAAAGGCAAATGAGGGAGACCTTGGGGGCTGCAGCACAGGGTTGGGGGTGGACTGTCACCTTGCATCTGCTTGAGCCTGAAGATCCTGGGGCAGCTGGGGAGCAAGGTGCTGGCGTGACGCTCCTGAGAGCCGATGTAGCTGCCTTGCATCGTAAGAACTCGTGCACACTCTGGGTGACAGTCCATAAGCATCCATTGATGCCTACCTGTGCCAAGCCCTGTGCTGGTTGCTGTGGGAGAAACTGAGGCAAGGCAAGTGTTGTTTCTAGCCTCAAGGAGTTTATGGTCCAGAGCTAGAGGAACAACAAGTAACTGGGGTGAGCTGGAGTGCATGGGAGGCCAGGGTAGGTCAAAGGAGTTCAAAGAGCTCGAATGGTGATTTTAGGGGACAAAACCAAGGCTTTGGGGACAGACCAAAGGCTTTGGAGCCAGAGGGGATGGCTCAGTTCCCAACATGCTCACTGACTGAGCGATCTCGGATGAGTTACCTCGTGTCTACAACCTGTCTCCTTAGCTATAAAATGGGTTGACAATACCTAGCTCAGGGGAGTGTTCCGTTACAGCAAGCACTCGTTTTCCTTCCCTTCGGAGGATGACTTTAAGCGAGCAAAACAGGGAAGGCTTCCTGGAAGAGGTGACTTTTCACTTTGGCACTGAAGGATGTCTAGAATTTAGTGCTTTTTCTGTCTTCTCTAAGAAATCTGTGGGTAGGCCCTAGACACATGGCGTTGTCTAAGAAGAATGACCTTCCCAGCAGCTATAACTGTACAAATAAAATCATGTTGAGAGGAAGTCACTTTCTTCAATTTGGAAAATTTGGAAGATTATTTTTTGGACGTAGTTTAAAATCCTGTTGCAAAGGGCAAAGCCAGGCGGCCAGTGCGCACTGCCAGGAATCGTCACACTGAGGTTCTCTCTGTGCTGCTTTTTCTTGCAGATGATGCAGTTTGCTTGGCAGAGCTATAAGCGTTATGCAATGGGGAAAAACGAACTCCGTCCACTAACGAAAGACGGCTACGAGGGTAACATGTTCGGTGAGTCGATTGAAACCACTTTGATATGGGGAGGGACCCACTGCCCGCCTGGTGACTGAGTGGAATTTTACTTTTGCCTTTTCACCTCCTGAGTTGTGGGGGCTCCTCAGTTCTTCACATCTGGGGTCTTCCAAGTCTGTGTTTCCTCTGGGCTGTTCAGGCTTCTGAGTCCCCCTAGATTTAGGGGGAATCCTATATGCTTCTCTCTAGCCTTACAGACTGCTTTGTATGAAATTATCATTTATTTTTTAAAGTGAAGAAACTTGGAAATGGGAGTAGGGATAGTGAGGGATGGAGATTTGTTCCCGTGGAGGTTTGGAGACCTAAAGAAAACAGAGGACCAGGTTTAAATCCACTCCTCTGGAGTGTCGCCATGAAATGGTCTTGGATGTTTTCGTAGATTGCTGAACACATATCTGATGGGGTTGGGTACATGATTTTTAGAGTCGTTAGGGGCCGGGCGTGGTGGCCTTCACCTGTACTCCCAGTCACTTGGGAGGATGAGGTGGGAGGATCCCTTGAGCCTGGGAGTTCAGGTCCAGCCTGGGCAACATATTGAGACCCCATCTCAAAACGACAACAGCAGCAAAAACAAAAGGGTATAGAGTCATGGCTCACAAGCTACTTGGAAGCCAAATGGAGCAGCCGCACATCAGGAGCAGTGGCATGGGTCCTGCTGCTGCCTGGCAACTCATTGTGTTTTATCTGCAGCCCCACTTGCTGGTGTCTTTGTCCTCGCCCAGCCACAGGATTCTCCTAACCCCAAGCCTTGGGAGCCTCTCTCTGTGGCTCAGAGGGACTGCAGGTTGCCTTCTTGTGGGCATGGCCTCAGATTCCAATAGTAACACCCATGCAAGTTGCCATCCCCCTTGTCTGCAGCCTGGCCTTCATCTGCCCTGAGGGACAGGAGTGGTGTGGGGCTGGAGAGAGGCAGTCCCGTACCTGGATTCCTCACCCCTTACAAATACAGTCTCCTGAAGTAAGGAACCAAATAACTGAGTCTGAGATGGAAATTCCCAGGAAAATGTTAAAGGCAAATTTACAAGGGATATCCCCCTATCACCCCCATCGTGTGCGGCCCTATCAGAGGTGTCCATGTTATAGAAAGAGTGACAGGAATCTACCCTCCTACCCTTCACCAGTCAGATCGTCACCTATCTGGCTGTTCAGACATTTCACTTCTCTTCTGGGAAATGGGGTGTGAACTGGGGCAGCTTTATATATTTATTTTTCTCATTATCCTAGGAGTGTATGGGGGTAAAGGAAAGTATCAAAAAAGTGCAAATCAGGCAAAAAATAATAATAATAATCTGTTCTGCTCTGTAGATGCAGCCTCCATCGACATCTTTGCTTATTTCCTCTCAATCTTTTCTTCTTTCTCCTTTTTTTTTTTCCCTTTTATATACCATTTTATGTCCTTTCTGCTCTTTTTTTTTTTTTGGCTTTGTGTTACATCGTAAGTGTTTCCTGAAGTCATCTAAATGTTTTCATAAAGAATGTTTTAATGGTGTGTGTGATTGTATGGATATGCCATAATTCATTTAACCATCTTGCTAATGTTGGGCAAAGATTGTTTCCATTTTTTTGCTATTAAAAATAATGCATGAGTTATCTTTGGGCATAAAATTTTGTCTCGGGATAGATTTTTAGAGATGAATTCCTGAGCCAAATGGGAGGAAGGAAGAGAGATGTTTCTTTTACTTCAAATATGAATTAAAGAGATATGTTGATTCCCATTAGGAACCTGGCTATCTTACCTGCCTAGAACACAGAGCTTCCCTAAATATCCTGCATCAGCCCTAGGGAAAGATTGCTGGTGCAGATCTCATCAAAGTTGTTGGAGCTTTTGCTATTAGTATAAACAGGGAAGTTATCAAGAAAGCTTCCTCTTTCTCTCTAAACACAGTTTGCAAATATTCAGGGAATTGGTGGTGGGAGCGGCCGTTGACTTCTCAAACTGCACATAGCATGGGCACAGGTATGGCTCAGACCATCACAGGAAGCGCTTCTGGGAGAGATTCCAATTTGTAAAATTCCTCAGGGCCTAGGATTTAAATCTCAACCCTCTGGCCCCTTTCCAGTCACCCAGCCTGGTGGGGCATGCTTGAGCCATCTGGAATGATGGAAAGAGCCCGGAGTTAGAATTGGATGACCTGAGCGCAAGTCCTCACTCCGTCCTGAGCTGTGTGGCCAAATTCAAGGCACTTAACCTCTCTGGGCCCCTGTTCATTCATCATTCATACTGGAACCACTAGAAGGATATAAAGAGTGTGTACGAACAAGCAAAGGGCCATGTCTACATGAGTGATTTATGATTTCTGTTGTAATAAATGAGGTTGGCAGTTGTCCCAGTGAGCCCATGGCAGGCTCTGAGGTCCCTTGGGTTGTCTGTCTCAGGAGCGGCCTTGGCAGGGCCCAGGGAACCCTGTCATCCAGTACCTGTAGCATTCCTAGCAGTGAGGCAGAGCCTTCCCTCTGCAGCCAGCAGATGAGCCGCAGTGGGCAGCTGGCGCCTGGGAAAGGGAGGTGCATGGGGACCTGGCGCTGGGCAGGGAGAGCCAGTCTTGATTGACTCCGTCTCTCCATATATAACTTGTTAGGTGGCAGTGCCTCGTGCTGACTGCTGGGGATACAGGGATAAATGGGACAGTGAAAGTTCTACCAACTCTGCCAAGACATGCACTGGCAACCCTTCCTGAAGTCTCTTGGAGGTCTGTCTAGGTGCTCTCAGAGAGAGGGACAAGTGCGGGTGACCACAGGTACTGACATGGACAGTCCTTACGGGCTGGAACTTCCGGCAGACCTCGTTTAAATTCAGACTTTACTGCTTCCTGGTTGTGTGACCTTGAACAAGTGATTTCTCTCTGAGGCTGAGTTTTTCTGTAAATTGGAGCTAATGATAAACTTAAATCCCGGCCTAGGGACTGCCTGACAAATAGACCCTGTTAACAGTGGTAGTTCAGATCACTGTCACCACAAATGGGTCTCAGGATACAGAGGCTTATGGGAACACACCCAAAGGATGAGGGCTGAGGGGCATTCTCGGAGCCTGAGAGGGGTTCTAGTTGGGGTGAACCCATGACGGGCACTGAAGCTAGACTATTCCCAAAGATAGGAGATGAACTGGTCTGAATGAAGCAGGTAGTCACCCACCACTTCTTTTCTGGACTCATGGGGGCTGCTGGGTTGCATCATCCCTGGACATTTAATGTCCTCCCTATAGGCTGAGCCCTGCAGACATGGGACACTGGGTGCAGTCAGGTGGCAGGCTGTGCCCATTCTGCTGTGCTGGCTGAGTAGGGTATACAAGGAGACCCTGAGCAGTGCCCCGCCTCCTGGTGCTTGGCTTGGACACAGGCTCCTGCAGCCTCGTCCCTGGCCTGCAGGGTTGGCAGGGCTGTGTAATGGAAGGGTAATGAGTTCACACGGGTGCCTCGTTTTGCTGAGATTTACAGGAGCTGCAGCGGGGGCAGTGGGATGCCCGAGCCTGGTCTCCCGGTGCAGCACTTCACCAAGCGAATCCCCCTCCCAGCCGCCCACTTGCCCTTCCTTGAATCTATTCTTACTTTAAGGACAAGATCTCTGGGTGAGGCGTCTCTGAAGCCAGTTTCTGTGTCCTAAACAAGTCAGTGTCAAAGTGGCTTTCTTTTTACCCACATCCGGCTCAGCAGGCCCTGTCAGAAGATGTTCCCCAAACCCCAGTGACCACCAACAAAGAGGATGCAGCCTGTTCCTCACCTTGTGGCTCAGAACAAGGCTGATCTCTGCCTCTTTTTTTTTTTTTTGAGATGGAGTCTTGCTCTGTTGCCTAGGCCGGAGTGCAGTGGCGCAGCCTCAGCTCACTTCAACCTCTGCCTCCCGGGTTCAAGTGATTCTCCTGCTTCAGCCTCCTGAGTAGCTGGGATTATAGGTGTGCGCCACCATGTCTGGCTAATTTTTGTATTTTTAGTAGAGACAGGGTTTCTCCTGGTTGGTCAGGCTGGTCTCGAACTCCTGACCTCGTGATCTTCCCTCCTTGGCTTCCCAAAGTGCTGGGATTACAGGCGTGAGCCACCACGCCCGGCTCATCTCTGCCCCTTTCTCCTCTGCTGAGAGGTGGCCAGATAGGGCAGTTAGTGTCTGGCTGGGTGGCAGAAAGAGCATGGGCTTTGAATCCAGACAGGCCTGGGTGGAAACTCTAGGTTACTGCTTAGGGGCTGTAGAGTGGAGCAGGGGCCCCGCCTCCAGTCTGTGGTGAGGATTAGAGAGGCCTGCAAAGGCTTAGCCCCGTGCTAGGCACAGAGCAGTCACTTGATCGGGGGGTGCTGTTCTTGCTGTTATGTCACAGAGGTGAATTTGCAGCTTGAAGAATGCATGGCAGAGTCAAGGAGGAACCAACCGTAAAGTGGCTCAGTACCCTGAGGCCTGACTTCCTCGCCTGTAAAGGGTGCAGATGTTACACGTGCTGCTAGGCTTTGGGGGAATATTAAATAAGCTAGCTAAAGAACATGGACTCAGCTGGGTGTGGTGGCTCACGCCTGTAATCCCAGCCCTTTGGGAGGCTGAGGCGAGTGGATCACTTGAGGTCAGGAGTTCGAGACAAAGCCTGGTCAACATGGTGAAAGCCCATCTCTACTAAAATACAAAAAGTAGCTGGGCGTGGTGACAGGCGCCTGTAATCCCAGGTACTCAGGAGGCTGAGGCGGGAGAATCTCATGAACCCAGGAGGCAGAGGTTGCAGTGAGCTGAGATCGTGTCACTGCCCTCCAGCCTGGGCAACAGAGACTCCGTCTCAAAAACAACAACAACAAAAAAGGACTTAGACTCTGGGGCCAGATGGCTTGCATGTGCATGCTGCTTTGCCACTTACTAGCTGCGTGACCTTGGGCAAGTTTCTTAACCTCTCTGGGCCTCAGTTTTCCCATCTATAAAGTGGGAACAATAATAGTACCTCCTTCACAAGATTGTTTTGAGAACGAAATGAGTTCACACACATGAAGTGCTTATATTCATGCGCAGCA